TAAGCATGTGATGTTTCAAGGAATTTCAACGAAATTAAATAAATTTGCGATGGTCGGTGTTAGAAATTTTTTTTAATTTCACAGAAGTTGTTATAGTAAATCTCATGAGAGTGACATTGAATCGGATTTAGGGAAAAAATGGTTATGAAATTTCAAGTTTTAAGTAGAATTTACGGAAAATCATGAGTTTTCAGTGGAATATGAATATTCCAAAACAAAATGACATAAATTTTCATTTTTTTCCTGAATTTTCCTGATTTTTCTGGATTTTCACAGAATAATTGAACTGAAAAATCAAGTATTTTATTGATTTCCAGATCATTTGAACGGAAAATTAATGGAATATTTGATTTTTCAATGACAAGATATCCTAAAATTTCAGTCGAACTTGAACACGATAAAAATTTCCGGAATTTGGCGCGGAAAATTCAGACGAAAATTTTTAACAGTGTTGGATCAAACGCCAGGCTATCACTCTGAGAAAATTGTTGAAAAATAACGAGTAATTGTTTAACCAGGCGCTGGGGAATATACGGGCATTTTTACCCACGGTGATCGTCAATGATAAGCTCACCATCTACCTATACAACACCAAGTAATACATACATGAATAGAAATAAATATATATTTAAATCGCAATATTAAATTATTAGCAGTAAATATGAAATATATATTTAATGAATGTTCCTATATTTATACTATAAGTACATAACTAAGTGTATAATATCGATATTCGACGGTGATTTCAAATTTTTACCAAAAGATAAAAACTAAACAAAAAAAATATGAAAAGAAAAATTAAAAAAATAAACACTGAGTGTCTAGCTCTTAGTCCATTTTGTGAAGTTGAATTTTCGATGGTGGCAAAGGTTTTAGAGTGAAAAATTCGAAAAACACTCGAATTGAAACTGACTTAATTGAATTGAATCGAAGAAAAAAAAATGAAACACTCAAAATTAGTAAAAAGGAAGAAACGATTAATAGGGAGTTTAATGTAAGCAGGTCGCGAGTGGCGGAGGCAAGGGTCTTCCTATATTGACTGAACGATCAGATGTGATATACGTGTAAGAAAACTATGAAAAACAACAAAAATTATTAACTATTAATTTATTTACCATTAATCGTAATTTATGTAATTTAAATATTATAGTATGGTTACGATATACAAGAAAAAAAATATAAAACATTATATCTACGTATTGTGTATAGGTAGATAGGACATATACAATGTTTTTAACTGGTTTATTCGATGTTCCGAGGATATAGCCAATTATGCTAAGTGTATTTAAGTAGTTAATGATGGTGACAAATGTTTCATCTGATGAAATTGTCGAATGAAAGAAAATAGGAAAAAAACGAAGGGAGATCTCTCGTGATTAAAATGCTCGATTCAATAAGGGACCGTGCGAATCATTATATTTTTGAATAAAATGAATAAACGAAAATAAATCGGCTATATTCTACACACACAAATCGCGTACAAATTAACGATACATTACCTCGATAAAAAAAATGAAGAAATAAACTATAATTATATTAAATTATTTATCCCAATTGCATTAATAAGCTTCCATAGTTTATTTGTTGTTTTTGATTTAGGAATAGATTTATTAATTTAGTGAGTGAAAAAGAAAAATTCGCCATGTCCCTAAGAAAAATGAGAAGTTTTAAGGAAAATTGTTGACAACAGCAAAGTAGTCCGAGAAATAAGAAAAAAAAACGTTCCGTGCAATAACAGTTTGCTCAATCCTCGGTGTCCGTCGGTCCGCCCATACACGGAACGACATTACTTAGATTACGAACGTCTAGTACCTATTGTAGTACTATCACTAGTAGATTTTAAACTAATCCCGATTAAAAAATTGTAGGAAGAATATATTTAATGAGAATCTCATGAAAATTTTCTCCTTTTTCAATTTTCCTCAAGTCTCGGTGTCCTTGGTGTCTATTCTAACGAGTGTAGCTAAACAATTTCAGAAAAAAATCGAAAAAAACAATTGAGTAATCTGTCTGTGTAGAAACTTGAATGTATTTTTCGCACAGTGTGATTGTAAGATATAAGTTTTTAAATTTTTGTATTATTTTTGGATTGTTTGCCGAGCTGGTGAACTCGGAGTTGTTTTATTAATAATCTTTAATATTTATCATCAATCAGTAACAATGGGGAGCTTGCACATAGCTTTTTTCCAATTCCCTTCTTCATATATTTTTCATAGCAGACGAATAGCCCAGGACTGCAACAAAATTGAGCATGGCCTAGATAAATTATGGAAATTTATGAAAAAACAGTCTTCTAAGACTAATTTTTCGGTTCCAAAATCGCCGGAAAATGTCCCATTGAAGTGATGAACCTCACATGAAAGGAAAAAATCATGCGAATTCCCTATTGTTCAGCGCACACACTTGTGTTTCACGCGACCAATTTCATTACAAAATGAGAAGAAACCGAAAGTGCAAATACATGAATTTATTGGACGAATATAATAAACGACGGGTTCGTTTAAATTACTAATATTTTCCAGTCCCTTAATTGAATTAAAAAAATGTGGAGGGGAATAATTACATTCACACTGTGATTTAAATGATTTTTTCGTGGCCATGTAACTATGATCGTTTTTATCGTACCTATTTAGATATTAATCGTATTGATATGTGAACGCCAAACGACGAAGTCATTGCAGTGCGGATGTAGAGTATTTTGTAATTTTAAAATGATAAAAGAACGATAGAGAATGATAAAGAGAGATGAAAAATTACAGAATGCTCAATTTGCAACGCAAAAATATTTGACATGGATGTTAGAGATATTTTTCAACTTGTACTAAATGTGATAATTGATGAATTGACAATGAGCAATCTAATTGTAATATAAATATTATATATAAAATTATATTTAATAGATATATTGAATAAATAACATATATGAATCAATGTCTGTCCGTAAAAGCCGTGACACTAGATTTTGCATAGTAAGTGTTAGCTGATAAATGTAATAATGTACGATGAATGACTATTTGAATTCGTGAAAACTGAGACAAATGAAGTTGAGAAGCTGACATGAGGGAAAGATAATTATCGTACCGTCTCAAATCTGTCCACAATTATAGCCGATGACGCGAGGTGAAACTGATGTTTTTATTCATTAATTTTTCTATTACTTCATTGAGGATGATTAGATGAAAGTAAAATAATAATTAACGATTAATCAATACAATTGATCACGTATGTTATTCAAATCCGATCCCGATTGTCGTCACAATCCTTCAACGACCAAGTTAAACCCAAAGCTATCTATCCACTGATGAAACACCTCGCGCCAATGGTCGCGTAAATATTGAAACAAGAAAAAAAATTATATATAAATATTAATACCGCTACACTATATATACACTGTAACCGATTGTTGTCTACGATATAATGTTATTTTTCTAATTCATATTCAATTGTTATTGTTGAGGACGAGCACATCGAATTTTAGATGAAAAAAAAAACACAAATGTGAGAGAAGAAGAGTAAAAAATGCACAGTTACCCTCTGAATTATCAGAGGCTGTAAATCGCGAATAATTTAATTTCGCGGATGAATTCGATAGTTATCGAACTACCAAAAAACTATGTGGAGATTTTAGTCAAATGTACAGATTAAGCCTGTTCAAACTGAATTTTTTATCCCTTCTAATTGAACAATTACAAATGCGAAATAGTTGAATTTTTTAAAGAGTGCCAAAACTCGAATTATTTACAATTATCACCGGAATGGTTGTTAAATCCGCAAGGTGATGATAAAGAGCATGAATACACGAAAAGAAAGAATTATCAATTATAAAAGAGTACCGACTAATGGTCCAATATTGCTCGAACGTTTGAACGGCTTAATTAAATTAATCCAACATCACTTATTGAATTTCATCTACTGCAATGTCGTATGCTATCGATTAAGTAACGCTTGCACAAAGAAATAAAGAAAACTGAAAACCCCAAAAAAATGAGTAAAATGAATAAGAGCAACGCACTATGAAACAACGACGCTAAAGAAATAAAGCTCAAATCTGGTTAACTCTCGGTACAGGCCTATTTTACTATTAATTACCCTTTGATTTAATCATACTAATAATTAACACGTGGGAGGAACTATTGATTAACGAATTAGTTTTATTTTACAAAAAAAAAGAGGGAGAAGAAAAATAATTGTATGCCATAAAGTACGTGGTAATGAATATTGGAAAGCACACTGGCACCAGATAATGCTGTGAACACGTATTGTATTTTTTGTAAGGCCCATTCTGCCAGATTGTGATAACCGAGTTCTCAGCATTCGTCGTGAGCCATTGCCAGTGTATCGTCCATTATGAAAAAGATGATAAAAACTATGAATAAGTGTAACACGAACGAGATGAATGAATAAATCGACAATTTTACCTTTCATTGAAGGGAAATCCAGTTGGAAACGGATTGAACTCAGTTTTCGGTTGAAAAATTGATAATTGAGAGGATTAGGGTGAAATTGTCAATTTGCGAGAGATAAATTAATTGGACATTGGCAATCCTGTCGGCAATGTTAAAGATAGATAACAAAAAGTAAAGATGATTGCGCAGTGCCACGATTCTCCATGATTGGATCATTTCTCATGGAATCTCGTGGAGGGGAAAATGATTGTTGTTATTAATTAAAATGAAATTATTATTTAACAAAAAAAAATTACACGTTTAACTTAAATATCAGTGTCGTGCAATGAGCGACTGAAGCTCCTTCGGTGTTGTGGGTAAAAAAAATACATTACTCGTTCCTAGCAACTTGTATGAATGGTTTAAACTACTCATACTAACTCATAACATTGCATTGATCCACTTTAACTCTACTTATTCGAACAAGAAACGAAATAAATAAATACATTCTGTCCAATCTTACTCGTTGTTTGTTCTTTCCGGGGGTATTTTACGTTGATTCTAGGGAGGAACAGGGAGGAGGAAACCCATTGAGAATAAGTCATTTCATTTTACAAAGAACAGTATTTTTATTCAGGCTATAACTCGACTTGTACAACTCTGCATTACATTGCCATATAATACAATTTATCTTCATCGGTAGTTTTCTTTCTTTCATAATTCGTTGAGAATTTCTGTTCTCGATTCTGTCATGGATGAAAACAATTGGAGAAATGGATTTTGCATAAAATAATTTATGAAATAAAAGGTGGGTATGTGACAATTGAATAATAACTATCAGTACCGTATTTTTTTTTAGAAGTCATGAAAAGTCTAGAAGTCGTGGCCAATTTCGAAAAATCTTCAAATTATTTTCAAGAGCCTCTCAATTATTCAGATGATTACGTTTTCATGCAAAACTTCAATTGAAAAAATTATTTGAAGACAACGTGGATTTCTATTATTGACAGTTCTATTCACAGATTATTGAGAAGGAGAAACAATGGATTTTAGATCAGTTTGATTGTAATAGGATTAACTTAATATCGAATGCATTAATCTTGTCACATTTGACCTAAAGTTTATTTTCGTATTGTATATATTGATAAATCACTATTTGATATTTATTCCTCTTCCACCGTCGACTCAACGTCGGTTTTCAAAATATTTCTTTTCGATACTCGATAAGTCCTTTTATCTTTATTTTTCTATTTGTTCGTTTTGTAAAAGCAGTTATTGTTCTAGGGAATTCTGAGTTGAAATGGTTAAACGTAATCGAGATGTCGAATGTCATATCTCTCTTGATTATGATATGACACAAGTCAACTCTTTACGTCTTCCCACTTCAAGACAGAATTATAATCTCATGCAATTTCATGTCCATTGGATTATTTTAAAAAATGCTAGTTTCACAGCAGTCTGAAATTCTCGGGCTAAAATAAACTGTATAAAAGCTGACTAAAATTTCTCTATAAAAAAGATCGTAAATCATCAGATCTCGAGTTAATAATATAACTAGAATAATTTGTTAATTAAAAAGATTATGAAGTTGGCTGTAGCAAAGATATAACTTGCTCAGTGGCCTTCAATCAAAAGCTACCTAGAATTTCGAAAGGAAAAACTCGATTCTAGGGCGTAAAAACGAGCATTAAACAGGGGACTACAAGCAAACGACGTGAATTAGTCGTTCTGAAGCCTTTTTCTTTCAAAGAATAAAACCGATATGTTGGTGGTTCTTATCACGTTGCCATCACACAAAAACGTGGCCTGCCGTCACTTTGGAATATTTCTCTTCCAGCGCATGACATTAAACATAAATTGCACTCGTAAAAATTCACAGTAAAAAAGTTGAAACAAAAAAAATTGCGTTAGCCTTATCATCTTAAATAATTTGATAGGTGGAACGTTAAACAAATATGTTAATAACTTCCTTTTAAAAAATTAGTCGTAAAAAATCGCATAGATATATTGCGACAGGAAATTAATTGGTTATTCGCCTATAATCGGACTTTTAGGTCTTCCATACGTTGTTTTATCCGACGTCGCATTTCTTTATACCTGGAACAGAAGAAATTTTAATGAAAAAATTATATAGGTAAGTGAAAAATCATATTTATAGTGTTTGGAATAGGTCCAAAGCTTGGAAGTTTAAAGAAAGCATGAGGAGTTCAACAAAATTATTTACAAGACATTCTTTCAGTGAATTCAGCCCACATGGCCAAGTAATTCAACAATTAACAATAAATAGCGTTAAGAATATGCAAAGTTTTTAATCATTAAATGTGTCATTAAACAATATTTTGGAAAAATTCCTGGATAATCAACGACTTCAAAATATATTTTACAGAAGAATAGCTTTTTTCAACATTCTTTCCTCACAAATAAAGAATGGAAATTATTCAAACGTCCTCTGACTTCGACTTTGTTTTTGCATAGAATCAATTTGTGGTAAACAAATGAACAATTTTTGATAATTTCGGAAACATAATTCTTCAGGTGAAAAATTGATGATTGATAGATCTGTCATGAAAAGTAGACTTTCTATTTCTTTTCGGAGGTTCACATTTTGTTAACGACTTCAAGTGTAAACAACAAGATAACGTTACAAAATGTTCAGTAACGTTGAGTCAAACAGAGCTTCAATGAAAGCTCTGATGTTTAACTCCAAATGCTGGAAAGAATTTCACCGAAAAATAATGGCTCAAGTGATTGGATATCCATAAAAATGAAATCTGTATTAATCATAAAATTGTCTCGGAATTGAGCAACTGTGCAGAAAAATATCGAGCAGTCTTTTTCTAGTAAATAAAGTTCCTTTCCAAAAATACCCCCTGAATGATTTTCATGTTCCAGAATATCTCAATAATATGTTACAATCCAACCACTAAAATGATGATTCAATAATCGACAACAAATGGATGAGCTTACTTCTCCTTCAGAAGTAATATCTGTCTCTCCTCCTCGTAATGATATCTCTGCAGGATTCCATGGCACTCAGGTAACGAAAGATTCAAAAACTGGGCAACATCAGAACTGATCTCTGGAGTTGAAAGCTTATCGACTAGGAAGAGACGTGCTACATTCTCGTGTGGTCCCAGGACGACCCTGACTTCCAGAGGATACTCATCTTCTCTCAATCTCCTCTGCTCTGTTGAATGAAAAACCCAAACAATGTTATTACCCAAAATGGATTAAAGTATTCAATATCGAAGTATTTAAATCACATATATAAATCAACTGATCGTCGAAATGAGCTGTTTTTGAATATGTGTATTCGAAACTCAGTTTAATTGACAAATTTTCTGGAGAATCTCTTTTTTCCTGTACCATCTCAATGCTTTTCCGTAAAAATTCAATATTCATCACAATACGAATTTTTGAATTCATCAAAGCTGAGAATTTGTTCACTACATGTAATCTTTTCCCCAAGCCAAGGCTCTTCGAAAAAACGTTACTACGCAACTCCAAAGTTTGTACGAAAGTTTGTTTGCTGTTAAAAAATTCGAAATTTCCTAGAATTTTCTATGCAATTTGAAATTTGATGATTGTTTCTTCCTGAATCGAATTCAATGTTCCCCTCCTAAACATAATTTTTTTCCTAACAGATGAAGATAATGATATCAATAAATGTAAATGCTCTCTCTCTAAGTGATCAAGTCCATTGAGGTGAGGGCTACAAAAAGATCTTCATATGTACAGATGTCTCTAAGAAACTGTTCTCGAAGTCAAACTACTCTTCACTAATCTTCACCATCACTCCAACGAATTAATTTCAATAATCTCTAAATGCAATAAATCCAACAATCCCAAAAGTAAATAAAAAAAATATATATAAGAATCAACAATAAACTACCTCCATTATCCCTGACGACAAACAGCGCAAAGTTAGCAGGTTTGGCATCGACCTTATACTTATCGAGCATCAGATTGATAACCTCCTGAGTGCTAACGAGGCTAGTAACCCAAACAGACATCTGGGAGCCATGAGGAGGAGTGAAAAAGCTCGTCTCCCGATTATAAAAGTGCCCATTGATGGAGCACCTGCGTCTCAGCCTCCCTCTGGACTGCCTCCTGCCCCCAGGACGCCTTCTGATGGCAGTGGACCCCTGTTTCCTTCTCAGGACTACCCCATCGAGCTCCAGTCCACTATCAGTGGACATCGTCATGTTGTCATCCTCCCTGAACTGCAGAGAGTTGGACTCGGACTCGGTGTCACTGTCCCCTCGGTTCCTCTGGAGGCAATCAGGCCCTGACATCGACCTATTCAGACCTTTTTCGATCCAGCTGTCGTCGTTACTGATAGATCGATTGTTGCTGGCGCTCTTCTCGAGACTGTCGAAGTACTCAACTCTCCTCAACGTTCCATTTCTGTTGGGAGTTCCCTGGAAGTTGGGGGTGTCTGTCCCAGAGGAAGAGTCGATGCTGTGCGTTGGAGTGTTGCTCATGCTGGTCTCGTTCTTCTGGGGACTGGCAGTCCCCTTGTCACTACTATCAACACTCGATTGTTTGGACAATGGTGGGGTATCTGTACTGGAATGTGAACTCAACGATGGAAGATTCTCTGGCATAGTCTGATACAATTTGTCCCCATCCTCCACCTTCCTCTCGACCTGGAGGAGCTCATCCAACTCGTCCAGCTCCATGTTCTTCACGTCTAGCTTCATCGGAAGAGTCAGACTCTTCAGGTGATCCGGAGACGTGGGGAGAGAGTTTGGCTCGCTCTCGAGTTGACTCTCGGTTGGGGACAAGTCCTTTGGGGGATTCTCGAGCTTCTCGTCCTCGTCTGAGGACTCTTCGGAGACACTCTTTCTACAGGAGTTTCGGTTTCTCGCGGTTACCACTGTACGCTGATCGTCGTCCTCCTTCAGGTGGATCACTCCACGCACGCCCCAGTAGATTCGCAAGGCTCCTTCGAGGATTAGACGGCCGTTCACCTCACGACTGCGGATTCCACCGCTTTTGCCTTCGTAATACTGGTTGAAGAGCTTCAGTTTATTCTCCAAATGCGATCTGAACAGGAAAATATGGAAATGTTTTGGTTATTTTCATTTATTCATTTTATTTTTTTAATTTCTTCTGTATATTATTATCTCATTTTTTTACAATGTTGCGTGTTTATATTTGGCATGTGTAGGTGATCAGAAAAATGAAGGAACTCGTGATGAGCACTCCTTTGGAAACAGAATCATTAAGAATTTTTTTTTTATTCAATTAAGGATATGCAAGTATCTTTTATAGTTTGATAGAGACTACACTATAGATTCAACCATTTTCAATCATCAAATTTGTCAATTAAATTGCGTGAGAAAAATTGAAAAAAAACATGAATATTCAGCGTAATTAAAGTTATATTTTACACAGAATTATTATTTTGTTAAGCATTCGCTGTTTATAAATAAACAATTGAAATTCCTTAAACTTTCGGAAACCTTTTTTTAGACATGAAATCTATTTTTGGTAAAATTTTGAATATTATTTCATCGATCTTCCTCCAAAAGTTACTTTCTAATTCTTTTTCAGATTTTTAAAATGTTCTCTAACGGTTCAATACCGAGATTCAAATTCAAACTTGCAAAGTTTAAGTAATAAAATCATTGTAAAATGCCTGGAAATTTAGGGTCAAATGGGGCTCAAATGAAAGCTCTGATGTTCGACTAAAAAAGTAGAAAAGCATTTCACTGGAAAAAAATAGCTAAAGTACTTGGATATTCTTAATCATCCTGAAAGTGCTGACAACCGCTTAAGCCAGTATGATTCCATGAAATCCTCACAAAGATATAATATACAATTGAAGGCACACAAGTTTGTGAAATCTAAAAGAACGAGCTAAGAGCTCTGTTTCATTTATTTGAATCTAGACTGTTATTCGTTAAGGATGCAATCCGTCATCTCATATTTTTGTTGTCTACATGTGTAAATTTATTTGTTTCTATATAAGTATTATATAATGATTTGACCCCCTGCTTGGTTTCGGCTGTTGGGTCTTCAATAAATAAAATAACAACAAACTAATTGATGAAGTTCTATTATTTTGTAATGACGTTACGAGAATCTAAATGTGGAACTATTTCGCTAATGAATTGTTTTAAGAAAGTGTTTGAAAACATTCAGTGGTGTTTCAATAAACCTAAAGGAGGTTTCCAGCTTGAATAAAAAGAGAAGAGCCTCATGAGATGGTTTTTGCCGAAAATTTTATGAGCCATAGAAAATTATTAGTTCTCACGTTTTTCTTTTGGACTTTCTCATTTGGAAGTTATTTTCAGAATATATGCACAATCAAAAGTTAATTTGCTTCATTTTGTTTGCATTCACAGTACAGAAATAGAACAGAAAATATAACCATTTGGTTTTCACCTTGGAAGTGTTGATCGTGGTTCCTTCTTACCGAAACTCGTGTGAGATTCGACTCTAGTTCCATGTCCAAATAGTTGTGGTCCGAAGAGGGCTCCGTAACACGGTACGTGGCAATATGGTACTCCTTTATGCTAATAGAAATTTTGGAATGAATCAGAGCGAGCGACTTGATGAGTTGATAACTTATCCGTGGAGAAGTTCGTGGAAATCCTCGGGGTGAACAGATTTATGTGAGTTTATCTACAGACGTTTTTATAAGAAATTTCACAAGGCTACAAAAAAGGTCTCTTAATAAATCGTTTTCAATGTCTTCAATCCGAAGATATTTGCAAATTAAAGCGCATTGAAATTTTTTTTCTAGGTAACTCACGTCAAATTTTATTTTGAATCAATTTGTGAAGTGAGAAGATGAAAAAACTTGATAGAAAGAGCCTTTTTATGAAATTTTTATGAAAAAAATTCACCACAAAATTTTTAATTTTGTGAATTGTTCTGAAGTGAAGAAGCTGAACAAAATTCACGAGAATACACTTCTTTTATGGAATTTTGAGAGATACATTAGTTTCCCCGGAACTTCATAGAAGAATCCTCATATAAATTATTGCAGAATACTTGCTGTTGAAAAATCTTTACTTCTTAAATAGTCATAGAATCACACGAGTTGAGAAATTCATAGAGAGGCCTTCGTTTCGGAGAATAATCAGGGCTACAATGAACATATATTTATAAATCCTATTCAACCGTGTAATTCTGTCAAATATTTACAAAATTTTCTTCACATGAATTTTCGCCTGCAAATTACACATCTGTTTCTGTAAATATCTTGGAGTGGGAAGCTTTATGTGAGAATTTTCTCAAGTCTCTTCAATTATACTACAAGATATTTAGAAAATAATCTTTATCTGAATTTTCGTCTAAAACTTATTTCCAATTTTTTATTTTATGAACATTTCTGGGGTCATGAAGTTCAACAAAAATCAAGAAAAAACCATTTTGGTAAAGAGTTGGTAACCGTCCAGGCCAGTTGCTGGACGGTTAAGGAAAATTCGAGTTTCGTGATAGGATCTAAAATAAAAGAATAACATCAATGGGGATATCATGGCTTTCATGCTTTCGAGAATGTTTTAATTAGCACAAAATATTATTTGAAGTGGAAATAACAAAACAAAGCATAATTAAATTAAGAAATAGTTGAATGCAGCCGAATTCCCTAATTTTTGGTCGACTGTGGCATATTTATTTATTTATTAAATGTCGATCAATAGAAAAAATAATGGGTCGCATGATTATACACAGCTAATATTATTGAAAGGTTAAATAACCGGTACAATTTTCATTTTACTATTAATGGAATATTCAATGGAAATTGAAACCGTCCAAATACTAGCCCCCGTCCAGACCCTGACCTGTTTACCCTAGGGCTACAATAAAGTTCTCTTCATACATTCTAGCCAACTTCATAATACCATCAAATATTTATAAAATATTCTTCAATTAAGATTTCATCTAAAAATGACAATTTTTAATGGGGACTTTCAAGGGCTGCAAAATAAATTCTCACGAATTCTCTTGAATCTCTCTTTTCCCCAAACATTGGGGAAATAATCAACACGTAAATTTTCGACTCCAAACAAAAATCCCCTCGTCTGTTTTATCATTCATTATCACACAAATACATGCAAAAATATTCTTTAAACACAAAGAATAATGTTTAAACAATTACCTCAGCATGTTGTCCAGGATTCAGCCTTTTCCCACACTCCTCGCACCTGAGACACTCAGGATGCCAGTCGTACCCCAGCGACTGTTTTCTTTCAGCTGAAAGATTGAGACATTGTTTGATTAAACACACACGAGATGAAAAGGGCATTCATGAGCGCAGATAACCTTGACGGTACATTGACCTGAAATCCTCGATCTTCTGTATGAAAATCATCATCACCTCCTGCACATCTCCCTCCCTCAACCCACCAATCACATGTTGCAAGAAATAAAAATCAACTGTCACAGTCTCAGCAACATTTACGAGATCTTAATCAATTGTTTGCTTTATGAACAATTGAATAAACTCGAGTGATTTGTTGGAGCAATTACTCACCGAAGTAGACAGGTTTTCCACATTTATGACACTTCCACATGATGATCCCACGTATTCTAGAATTAATCTCTCAATCAGTGATTCCTACGTCAATTTTCGAGGTGTAAACATTTTATTTGTTTACAAAAATAATACTCAGTCTTTGTGAAATCACACAGTGTCACTGGATCCCACTACTCACTAGAATTGTTCATTGAATGATAAAGAATACGTAGAGGTCGACTCCACTACTTTTTATGCTCCAAAACACTTTAAAACCCCAGGATGCACTGCAATGGTGAATTGATTTTGGGGGCGACCCAATGGCGGAGCCACAGTCGCTGTTTATCTCTGCCAGAGCCCTTTAATAATTTCGGTGTAACATTTATGCGGCAATATTTGATAAGAAAGGATTAACAGCACGCGATAAGTTGTGTGACAGATTGAGGAGCGGAGAATTATTCGTTTGGGATTATTAGTTATTGGTAAGATTTTTTTGTGATCTCTCTCTCTGCAAAAATCGAGACTTAACCTAGGATTTTAAACGGAGCTGGCGGCTATTTGCGGGGAGACTGATGGAAAATGTCTTTCAAATGGTTAATCTATTTAGGGGAGGGTGGGGTAAAATGGACACTTGAGACTTTTTACAAATAATTTATAACTCAGAAACAAATTTATGAATTGAGCTCAGTTTAGGCTCGTCACAAAGGGAAAGAATTGTTCTTTGTACTGAAAAAAAATGATTAAATTTCATCAACATTTTAACCCTTCATTAATATTTAAAAAAAAGTCAAAAGTGTCCGTTTTACCCCACCCTCCCCTATTTAAGCATTCTAAACTAATAGGTTTAGGGCTGGTTGCATCAAGCCCAGTTCAGAAAATCCTCAGTCAAGTATCGGAATAAATCAAAACGATCTGCCGATCCATTTTGAATGAAAGTTCATCAAGGGTAATTTAGCAAACATGAAGTGTATCGATGTTTTCATCACTTTTTGCCAATAATAGTACTAATTATTAAGTCAATATTCACGACTGAATGGCTGAATGAAGTACTGTACGACGAATTCCTAAAATTGACTGGAATAAATTCACTCTACACATGAATTTATTTCAACGATTTATTTATAAGCAGTTCCAGGCTAAATAAGCAGGATAAAAAAGTCGACGTTGGGGATTGTCCTCACAATTTTTATGAAAAGATGGCCATTAGACAAAATTTTTGAAAAAAGAACAATTTACAAATATGGATAATTGAGGGAGTTATGATTTTTTCAAGTTTGCTAGTTTTTCCCAATTTTTTTCCAAATTAACTCCAATATCTCTATGGGGTTTCAAGCTATCAAACCGCCCTTTGGTGCCCTCAAAGAACATGAAAAACCTTTCAAAATGACATGTCATACAAAACATTATCTTCAGTTTGACCGGGTTTATACGAGGAAATATTTTTTTTTAATCGTTAATTACTCAAAAAGCAATTTTTTTAAATCTGAAATTGTCACCAAGAGTTGACAATAAAATGTCAAGAATTTTTGTGCCAATTATAGTTTTTCTTTCTCCGTGGTTGAGAGATTATTAATGGCGTTTTTCTTGCACCACTTACTGAGCCAGTAAGCTCAGTTTGGCTGTTTCTCGATTTTTTGTTCAGTCGGTAAAACAAATGACCATTGACAATGGCGTTGTCAATTTCAGTTGAATGAAAAACGCAAAGTGTAATCGGCCTAATCTAATCAATTGAATTATAAGCCGTGTAGAAAATTATTATTTCCATCAGTACTCCCAAAAATAAAAAAAAAGTTAATAACTAAAATTTTCTTTGCTTGAATTGCGTCAAATAGTCGTTTTTCGGCTCTTGCATTTTGCCCCACTCTCCCCCAGATAAATGTTGTTTTCAGCTTTTCCAACATCTCGAAATCATTTTGTATATTTAAAAGCAATGGAGATGAATGGGAACATTGAATGCTTCGAATATTTCTAAAAAAATTAACATGTCCTCTCCTATGGAACGAAGTTTTATCGGAAAGTAAACGATAATTTTGGAGCACTTGTAGTTTTACTGCTGAAAATTTCAATTTCTATTAGTAATTTCAATCATATTTCATTCAGCTGTGAGAATAAAAAAATGGGCGGCTGGCATCTAGAGGCGGCAAAGATGGTCATTTACATTGGCTTTCCCGTGGCTATATTTCACTGGTTTAATCAGCCGGAGAATTTTGGTTCCTTTGTGGGGGATGTGAGAGCAACTTGCATCCCTGTACATGAGAAACCCTCGAGGGAGGAAATAGAGCGATTCATCGATGAGTTCAACAGAGAAAAGGATCTACAGGCAATTAACGCGATGGAATTCAAACAGTCCAAGTAATTAAATTTATGGTGATAATTTGTATAAATTTACGTCAATGGACTGAAATACAATTGCTTATTTCGAGTCAAATGTTATATTAGGGAGTTAATGATTTTATTTCTTAGAAGGTACGGGAAGAATCATGAATTTTGTCAATAAATAATTTTTATTAGTTCTATCTGTATTTAATACAAACATAATTTTTCAATCAATAGAACCTCATTATTCAGGAATAATACAAATAATTGTGGCACATATGTGTCTCATCAATCCGTAAAACTGCTTTCGCTTAATATCACGAGAGATTTTTGACGTGGACACGTTTATGGTCTCAAGCCAGGAGGTGATTTCAGAAAACAGTTATGTTCAACGCCATCTATTCGATCACAAGTGAACTATAATTTAATTGATGATAAGTTGCCGATTAAGTATTCTGGTTAAGTTGTATTTTGCTAAGATAAGTTATATTATTATTTTTCTAAATAGTCAGACGACTATTTAGCAAAACTCAAATTCTTACATCATCAATAATATTGGTATCTATAGTGTAGGAATTTGGGTTTTGCTAAATAGTCGTTTGACGAAGAAAAAACTTGGAATTCAACTTCTACCCAGATGGTAAGGTCTATTGACTAAGTCTGCAGTGGAACCATTAATATCGCGAGAAGTGAACACTTGGAACAGTTAGTGCTGTGCTTCAGTGAATTCAAGTATTCCTCAGGTAAGTACTGAATAGTTTTCAGTGATTCCATTAAACTAGCAATTAATGTAGAATTAATTAGAATTTTTGACGTGGATACGTTTGTGGTTTTATTATGGGGGGCCTTTTGTGAAACGGTCCTTAGATGCAGTGCCATCTAGTGGAATTCTAGAAAATTCTAGACATTTCGAGGTTATACGAGAAGTTTCTTGAAATTCCGAAAACATTCAAGGAATTTCTAAAAATTTCAAGGGAATTGAGGGAGTTTCTGAAAAATTTGAGAAAATTCAAATAGTTTCTAGAACACTCGAGATTTCAAGTACTTTCTAGAAAATTCAATGGAATTCCGGGATTTTCTAGAAATTCTGAAAAAATTCATCGAGTTTCTGGAAAATTCCTCTATATAAAGGACAATTGGAGCGAGTGAAGATCAGTTGAGAATTGAATTTCGACAAGTTCACATCTTTAGAAGTTGAGGAAAATGAAATTAACTGAGGTAAGAATAATTTCAATTAATATCATCCACCAAACACGTATGATCGAGTTTGAATTAATCCAGTAAATTCTACATGTTTACAGGTATTCCATAACTTTTGTGGAAAATCACTTTTGAATACGAAAGTTCTAGAATAGACCTTTCTGGCAATTGAATTCCTCTATATAAGGGTTCAAATGAGTGGAGAGTAATTGGAGGATTTCCATTCACAATGCCAAAGCGCTGCTTCATTCCGGATTGTACTCGACGACTAAATACATCAATTTTCGTTTTACCTTGTGATAAAAATATACGAGAACAGTGGCTCACAGCGATTCGTACGGCGTATCCTGATTTGGTGATTAATGAAAAAACATTTCGGCTCTGTGAGGATCATTTCAGCAATGCAGATATACAGTCATCTTGCATTATGCGGGATAAAAATGGAGCAATTGTCCAACAGGTACATTATTTTCATATAAAAGAGGTTTATCGTCTAGGGTGTCTTCTGTGTCTCTCTCTCATACACGCTGTACAACAAAAAAGTACAACATATCAAAGAAGTTGATCGTTCGCACACAGCGTGTACGGGAGGAAGATATAGAACACAGTGAATTATGAAGAATGTGTTAAATACGTGAGTTTTCCTGAATTGCCTCATTCTTATTTGCATCTAATGATTTGTAGGAATCGATGCAGAGAAAACGCATTAAAAAGGGAGCTGTACCTCATTTTGACGAATGTCTCGGAATCTAATGGGATGGAAAAATTTTTGTTATGACCTTTTTTATAACCTGCGAATAGAGAGATAAAAAATAAAATAAAATGTACATTTTTGTGGGACATCCGCATGAAATTTTTTTTTTCAATTATTTTTTTGTAAATGACATTTTTTTCTGCTCCGAGTTATGATAAATTAAAACATGTTATGAAATTATTTTTCAACAATCGGAAAATTAGATGTAGACATTTCTGAAAAAGAATTATTTATAAAAAATTAGAGAAATTTTTGTAAAATTGAGACTATTATTGATGGATTCAAAAAGTATGGGAGAGGGTGGGGTAAAATGGACACTTCTGACTTTAAGAGAAAATTGAATTGTTGGTGAAATTGAATAATTTATTCTTCAATGAAAAGTACAATTCTTGCCCTTTGTCATAAGCCAAGACAGATCAGAGAAAAAAATTGTCAGTGCAGGGTAACCCTACCGGGTTTAATCTCATCAGGACACATCATTTGAGGAACTCGTAAATATGCAGAGCGTAATTCATCACATTTCTAGAGATATTATGAAAATAACAAAAACGGCGGCGTTTAGACCATAGCGCAACTACTGGAGGGCTAGCGAAGTTTGAGCCCGTGAAGGACAAACTTCGTCATGGTGATACATTTCGAGAATCAAATGTTGCAAGGATCACACCTGGCAAGGGTCAAGCGTCCCCAGTGTTATATTTACCTAAATTATCCTGATTTCTATCGATTTTTCATGGAATAATTGAACTCAAATTTACAGTTTCCATTAATATTTACATAACATTTTGAATTTTCATCGAAGAAATTCTTTGCTATTTCAGTGGAGTTACAATGCGATAAGATTTTCCAAGAAGTGTATTGAAAATTTCATCCAAAATTTTTTATCAGCGCGACATTTGACTCTCGCACTTCAATCCTTACCCTCCTCTGAACCTCAGAGATCATTCGACCTTAAGAACGTTTGATCTTCTGATTAGTCAACCCGTCTAATCGTAATATATTACAATAGTTATCGAAATCGTCGACGATGAATATGTCGAAACGCATGAAATAAAATGATAGGTATAACTTTAATCGAAAGACACATGAAATAACATGAGTGTTTTGGATTGCTCGTATTTCTGCCGAGAGATATGAAACCGGGGAATGTTGGCATTATAAACACGAGCAAGCATTATTTGATTCAAAAAATTAAGTAACAAATAATTTCTTATTTGATTCAAACAGTTATTGTTGCCCGCATCAACACCATATGGGGATCAAAAAACTCAATAAATTATGAGAATGCAATAAATTAAGTTATTTCGAATTTTTTTTGAAAATCCATAGGGACTAACTTTTGGGTTCTATTGTCTTGGGATATACCTTAAGGCGTTTTTCGGCCAATTCATGACCGAATGGCGTCACGTGACCAAGCAATTCTCAATGGATCAGACAAGGATAGCATTCATCTGATCGTCTTTATTCAATGTCTTTGGCCAATGGAGTGGATGCCCCCTGTTGCCATCTGTTTCAGTTTTACGAAAATTCTTCAATTCTAGCCAGCCTTAAAAATCGCTCCCGAACCCGGAGTAAGATTTAAATGGGAAATCCACCCCTGAAAACTGTGTCCCACCCAGCGTATATAGTTTTGATTAGCTAAAATGGAAATATCTTCGCGTGAATATCTTGCTTCAGCAATTAACGAGCAATAAACGAGAAGAGTATGAACTCTTTGATATCTCAGAAAAATCACTTGAGATCTTGAGAGGGACACTGTTTCGGCGTCTCCTCAGTGCTGACTCAGCAATTCTCAGAAATTCTGATGTAATCGAAGTGTTTTTTATATCCAAATACTCCAAATTTGGTGCTAGTTTCAGAAGCTGACCCAATGTCTCGTTTTGTATTCTCTGACACCCTTCACAGTGAAGTCGTTTCAATGACAGCATGAAGTCGTAGATTTCCAGAGTCACATTCAGGTTCCTAATCTTAAGTACTTTAAGATTTGGAAGCCACAATGCCTCTCGAACTGAGCGATCTGTCAAGGTAGGGATGGCTGAAAAATGAATTCACAGAATTTAGTCGTAAAGGATAGATATAACTCAATTGAATCTTCGAAATCGAGAACTAAATCGATGGATGGCAGAAGTAAATCATAATAATGTAAATAATACTAGGAAAAGGAAGGGCGAAGGGGAACAATTACTATCGACTCAAAATTCGAATATGTCTGTTCAAAAACAAAGATATCAAGAATTAGAGTGGATCAAAGAGTTCAATTTTACCCGACTGGCCCCTAGATACATAAAAAATGCATATTCAATTGATGTAACTCAACTGAGGTTATCCATAAATTCGTTCCCACTGCTGGATATCGAAATTGGATAAGAAATATTAGATAGTTATCTTTTTATTTAAAAAAATAACGAAAAATTGATAGTATGTAGCCTTGCTTGATAACTCATATGCTGCGTATTCTTGATTTTCCATTATTTTTCAAAATAAACATCCTGTACTTGATATTCCCTCCGCCCTTGACTATTCCATCATTGCTGAATGAAATAAATATCAAAATTTTCAAGACTCGTTATTATCTCACCACTAATGTTCAGACATTCCAGTCTCGGGTTTCTCCTGAGGATTCGAATGAGGATTTCGTCAGTGATCTTTAACTCTGGAATGATCAAGGTCCTTAGCCTCGTCATATCCTGAATCTTCCATATCATGTGGCTATCAATAGTCGAGTCCTTGAAATCCAAGTGAATCAAATTTTGTCTATGATCCATTCCCGTCAGATGTAGCCCACGATAAAATCCCCTCAGGGTGAGACTTCTCAGTTTTCTAAACTTTGTTAAATCCTATTTGGACAGGGGAGTAAGGTAATTCATGGCATTATGTGAAATTTACTTATGGGACATTCCATGCCAATTCAGCCTCCCTAGATTTTTGTGCCTTATAAACGTCAATTGGCAAGCGCACATTCAAAAATCATAGAAATAAGAGTAGCCTGGCGCTCATGACAAAACCTCCCATTTTCAAAATGGATTTTGATGACTAAGAAACGATTTTCTTTGTTCTTTCATGTACTTCCTGAGTAAAAATACGTATTTTGATGTCTGTTTTTATGTGAAGGACGATCAGAAAACACAAACTTTCCACACCATGTTAAGACGTGATTCATCAAGGGCAATCTTAACATGCAGCTGAGTTGGGACGGAATCTCTATGTTAAGGAAGAGCGAGCAAAATGTTCCTTTTCAATGCCAATGTCTAAGTGTCTAGATATTCTGGGTTGAGAGTCCAAATAATTTGGTGTAATTCAAGAAACTTTTATTCATTAATTCTCACTTATTTACCTCGTAGAGAACTAACTTTGTGGCCGTCAAACACCGTTTACGGACATTGTGAAGGATAATTGCATATGTTCGTCACTCGGCCGAAAACCACTTTTCTGACTCATGTGATTGCATTCTTGGGTTTCGCCTCGATTTTGAATATTGGCTCGCTTTTGACGAATATCTCGGAATCTAAAAGAGATAGAACAATTTTTGTCATGACCTTTTTTATAACTGTCAATTGACCCTACAAAAAAAGTCATAAAATTTTTTTGAAAAATTTTGCTATTTCTATTAGATTTCGAGATATTCAGCAAAAATTGACCAAAAGTCAAAATCGACTTAACCCGGTTTATCGCTTTGCTGCTGAATTGTTTTCATCAAGAATCGGTGCTCTGCATTAACAGATCGGCTGTAGGGTTGAGAATTTCTATGCCTCCCCTATCAATCCTAGTGTGAATGCGGCGTAGTTGAGATGTTTACTGAATACTATATTTCGACTGAACAGAATATTTCTGACGGGTATAAAGTAAGGCGAGTTCTGCAATGATGCGAGGAAGAAAAGTTTTTCACCAAATGAGTAATCAAAAAATATGATCAACCTTTTGAAATCATTTACCGTGAAGGGAACAAATATCTGTCATTTATAATAGTTTTATGTATTATCGTGTGATTTATGGCTCATATGAATGGATTAACGAACTTCCCACTGTCCCTAAACAAATTTTAGGAAAATGGAAGAAAGCAATACAAATCAAAAAGAAATACGCGGTAGAGGAGGATGACTACATGGAAAAATGCAGGAAAAATCATTTCCAGAATAATAATCGAGAATTTTGTAATTGTATTGGCAATTGAAGATAGTCCATTTTGCCCTACTCCATTACTATTGATAATTAACTTTAAACTTACAAAGTAATAAGGATTTCGATGGGTGTAGATCAAATGAATTTTGATCATCGATTCTGGCAAATGTTGGAGGATGTCGAACCCAGGTAAGTCGGGATAAGAATGTATTTCCAGTGCTTTCAAGTTCTGCAGTGATTTGAACATTTCCGAGAATGTGTTCGATTTGGGGTTTTTCAAATAAATCCACAAGTTCATGGTTTCAAGGCTGTTACAATATTTTCGAATCAAATCAAGACACTTGTGGGAAGTGACGTCAATCGCGATATATTTCAGAGAGTCTCCGCATCTTTGCAGATAGTCTTCTAATGTATCGTCGCAGCAACACTCAATCGGGGCCACGCGTCCCCCCAGATGGAGTGCTTTCATACGCCAACTCTCCGGGGCAAGTTTCCTCCAACGTCTACAAACTAAAATTAATATTCATACATTGCTGGAAATAGAACTTGCATGATTTTTTTCAATTTTCTAATCTCGTGTCTGGGACCTGAATAATGGCAGTGTGTATTCACACGCTTCACGGTAACTTTGACCGTGGATATACGGGGAGGGTTGCCAGATTTTGGCGATTTATAGCCAAAACCTGTACAATTTTAAATGGGATGACCTCACGATCTGGTAACACTGTATACGGGACGTTTTCCCGCGGATTCAAGGTAATTTCTACCGTGGATATATGGGAGATCGTGGACCCTCAACTTTTACTTCTCAAATTAAATCTAGACAATAAACTAGATACATCGCATCAATTGATAAGTGATATGCAGATAGTAGACTAGTCAATAATTTTCTCAAAATATTAATCCGTTGAATACGAATCAGTCTAGATTAACGCAAATAAAAAATGAAATGAATCGTTTTTCACATTTTATGTGAATGTTTTCTCAATAATATTCATATTTGTCTAATGGGGTTCGAGTGCAGGAGTGGGTGCCGAAATATAGTGAAAGTGATTTTAACGGTGAAAATGATTTCTACTTCCAGAGTTCAAAACCAAAGTATAACAGAAATGTCAGACAAGATGTGAGTGAGAATCTACCGTGGATCCACGGTAAAATTTACCGTTGAGTGTGCGAATAGACACTGCTCTGAATAATACATTTTTATTCACAAGCGTTCGAAATATTGCCCATTGATTAATAATTAATTGGTAAAAGTTGAAGATTTCACACGCCTTGAAATCGCTAATGACGACACACAGACGGTCGAGTGTTGGACTAATCACAGAATGGCTCGGGCCGACGTAACCAATCTTGAGGTGCGCCTCGGCCAATGGAAGACGACAACTCCCTACTCTTTTCTTTTTCGACCAATGAAGCGTCACCTGAACATCTTCGTGACGTCATGACCGAAAAATTGGCCTGGAAAACGACTGATTTTCAATTAATTATCATAAGACATTTAGGCAATATTTCTCCATAATTTTCACCGTTTAGCTATCCATGTTATGAGGAATGTGTGAATAGGGTAATTAGAAAGAAGTGCAAGTTCCCTATTATGAAATTTTAGCAGTGGATTTCATGCGATGGGTGAACTATATTCTCTTTGGTTTAAAATTTAAATTAAATATTCAATCGTAAAGAATACAAAATGGGAAATGGCAAAAATTGATGTGACATTTTAGTGGCTGTTACGTTCACATGGATCTTCTTTTTTTATTTCGTTTTATACAATTCATCACAGTAAAAATTATGTCACCTCCTTAAGGACCTTCTATTGCCAAGTCTAACGTGGTTTCCCTGAAATTTAATAACTTCTGACATATAAAAAATTATAAACGTCACGTGTAATTGCAGCGACATTATTTAGCTTCTCAATTGCGTTTGTTTGATTGAATTATCTACCATAGTTTTGGAATTATTGGTCTTTATAGGTCCATGAAACCGAATTGATTGACTTTCGGGGAATAGTCCTCTACTACGAAGCTAACACGTTAGCTTTTTATTTTACCTTTTTTCCGTGAAGTTCACCCTCAAGAAAAAGTATTGAAATGAAAATCCCAGATTTCTTATTTTCGTCTATCTATTTTGTCAACACTATACCTCTTTCGATCGTCATTTTATTTGGCGGATCGAGCATTGAAAATATCTTGATGAGAATATCATCTTCCAGCATGTCAATTGGTGCAACCAATTTAGGTACCGGAGTTAAGGTCAATATACAGTCGTCAAATGTTATTTCATGATTATCAGCAGCTTCACAAGCCCTAGAAAGAAGATGATCACGGAGGATTATGGCAATAACCATAAATGCGTTGGACTGTTTATGGTAGGGAAGTTTTGAGGATTAGGTTTTAATTTTCTGTGTGAGAGAGATGGAGTGATTTGGGAATTGGCCCATTGTCTAGACAGGGGCATAGTGGAGACACAGTCACCACACATGCATGGAATAAATCGACAACATATTCAATTTTTCTTGTAGTTGAAAAAAAAATTCATTCGATTTGATTGAAGTAGTATATGGAACGCCCCCTACAGTATTACCGCAATTTGCGCATAATTTTCGAAGTGCCCGTTTCCCCCGACAATGCGATGAAAATATTTTTTTATTTTTCATTTCAAAGTTATTCATTTACACACAGAGTTTTTGATTGAGGAAACGTTTTTTCTTGCATTCACTAGGCGAATTCCAACAGAGCCACAAGAAAAACCGTCGAATCGAAATTATGAAACGCAGTTCATACTTGGCTTTCTGCTTAGGCTGCTCATCTCCCCCCAAATGTCATAAACAAAAGAAAACTGAAAACTCACTCGGCAGCATCGTCAGCATGTTTGAAAATCAGTTGAGCAAAATTGTCTGGCACCATTCCTTGCCATTTCTTCCAGCCCTCATAAGGAGTTTCTGGCCACAAATACACACATCTCACCTTCCCATATCTTCTGAATAAATATTCCAATTCCTTCTTCTCTTTTACTTTCTTCCTTTGCGATATTTCCTTGTAACGTAAATAACTGGGAAATCCCTGGACAATCACTTTCACAGGAGGCATTCTTGCCTGGAGAAATTAATAATGAATCGACTTGAATTTTTATTGCGTTTTCGTTATTCAGAATGCTCACGAATAAACTTGAATTTTTCGCGGAACTCAGGGAGCGACCGCGTCCTTCAATTCACATGATTTGTTATGATTCTTACTGCGCTGGTCGTGTCGCTCTTTCTATTCTGAGCTGTTCTGAGCGTCGGGTGTCTTCTGGAAGCATATTCCCGTACCTGTGCACGAGGGTTTTTAAGAGTGGGGGATAAGAATCTAAGTGGGGATGACTTCAAGTGGGTCCTCTTTCACTAGATGTAATATTATTAGTCCAATCTGGCTGATAAAAGTATGGTATGGTCTAGAAAATTCAGCTGGCAATGAAAAAATACCAATCGATCCGTAAAAATATCCTGAACAACACATCAAAATGTTTAAACATAGTTTCAACCAGAAGGTATTCAAATTAATTAAAAACTCAACTTTATGTGGCGTAACGCCAAGAACTTTAACTGTTTAACTGTTTAACTCATTCAATCGACGAGAAAAAAATATCAACTTGTAGAGAGAGAATTCCTCTACAAATTTGCACTAAAAAACAATGATCTTGGATGGATAATTGCGACGTAAAAAAATCCTGAAGTTTTTTAACCTCAAATGACGCTCAACAATAACATGAGGCTCCGAGCATAGGCGTCGTATTATATGTCTATGGCTCCGAGACCCGCCCCTTTTCGGCGTGCGCAACTCAATCAAACACGCGCGATGTGCAGTAGATTTAAACGTACGTTGCGCAGAAGTATTGCAAAACTATTGGGGCCCTCTGCATATTCTCGCGCAATACGTAATAGAAGTGTTGATAGATAGACAACAAATAATGAGAGATAAAAAAAAGAAAAAATGTTTTGAACAGAATCATGCGTTTTTGCTTGAGTTCATATACGTATATGGACCCCGTCTTTGAGGGATTAACAAATTAATGAATATTTCATTGCCTTTAACAGGCGCGGTGTTGTCGGGGCGACAATCTTTCAAGAAAGGGAATAGTGTTGCGTATTTGCCCTTTTCCTCCCTCTCAACCACCGTCATGTACGATCGCCTATTTCTTTCTTGATATTTTTTTATCTTTAATCCAATTCCGCGGATGCGTCATGCCTTTTTGTATTTCTTTTTATTATCATTTCGCCACAGAATCTTTAATAGACATTCATTTATTATGAAACCGACTAATATTTAACAATATAATATAAAATAGAAAGAAGCATAATTTAATGTTGAATGACTTTTTTAATCATCGAAGAAATGACGATGTGTCATTTTTCAGAAAAAACGATTTTTAGATCAATGGGTCTATGCCATGATATACTGAATCGATCGACCCAAAATTTTGTACAAAAGTGAGACCCGGTAATACTGATTAGGAGCCAAAATGGTATGGGGTTCATTCGAACTTTTACGCGGATTACGGGACGTCAAATTCACTGAGTTGAGAAAAATAGAAAAACGTGAATATCTCGGAAACTTTGTATGGACGGGTATCCATATTTTGATTGATCTCGATAGGTGGATGCAAGACGAGTATTTTGAAAAAAAAATTGAAATCTGACCAGCATTTTAGGAGATATTGACCAAAACAGTTTTTCACAAAATTTGAATATCTTCTAAATCACTTGTTCGATTTCGCCTACTCACGAACTCATCCTGTAATATCATGAGAATATTACAGGACAATGTCGCCAAATTTTAATATCCTATCTCAATTTCTTCGGGAGTTATCGTGTATACATCAATTTTATCATAAAAATGAAAAATGCCAATTATTATCAAACTGTCCTCAGTTTCATAGGGATATTATGACTTGATTTGATAGATATTATCACAAGGAACACTTCGACGTCAAAAAAATTCAATTAGGTCACGTAGTTTTTGAGATATTGAGGAAAAACGATTTTTGAGAAATGGCTGTATCTCAAAACCTATTTGACCGATTGGGCTGAAACTGGGCCCAGAGCGACTCGAAAAATAGTAGCAATTATATGACGAAATTTCAGATTTATAGCTGCAACTTTACTTGTCCTTTTGTTGAGATTTATAAAAAATTTCCGAAAAATCTGCACACAAATACGGATATACATGCACACATTTTCTAAAAACATCATATCTTCACGTTTCATGACATTCTACATAATTTCCAAGCAAAATTAGAAGATCGTAAAAATGACCCATTACAAGGCTTCCATTCGGAAGCAAAAAAGATGTATTCTGTATTCAATGTGTAACACATTCGGCCCATATTTTTTAAACGAACAATATCCGTTATTTAAAAAACATCGAGAAATTTCGTCAAAAGAAAGTGCTGTTAAAGCGATCGCAACTTGTTATGAGGTTTACGGGCGAGCTGACCGCCGGTCCCTTAAAATTGAATCCACACGTGCGCCTGGCTACCTTTTTCAGGGACATCGATGCCAGTTATAGGCGTTCGGGCTCTTTGGCGCGCAAGCACACTGTACAATGTCGGAATAAATGTCGGAACTGTACAATGGGGGAACACCGGTGAAATCATGAACATTCTGGTATCCTCCCCTCTTTGTCCTCCTGTTCCTAGTCCCGATTTATTGTTTCTCTTTTCAAATCAATCAGCGGTGCACATGAAAAATTAACACATTTCGGAATAAAAACATGCTTGATGTCGTTGTCCCGTGAATGCACAACACATTATACCCATTTGAATTTTGCACTTGCCTTGAGATCGCACCAAACTGTCACACACTTCTTTTTTTTCGTCAGGAGTTCAAAAGGAAAATGGGTAACAATAAATAAATCATTTTATTCAAGTATTCAAATTTAACAACTTTGAAATCAATCGGTGCAAACAATGAGAACTTCGAGTATTGCTAATATTGAATTAAGGGAGATTCTCTATTATATTTTAAGAACGAGAAGGAAAAAAGTAATACCAAATATTTCTCAACTCAAGTGAACGAGAAAATGAGAATAAAACCTTTGTTTCTTCATCGATAATCAATAGAATAATATACATAAATATAAAAATATCTTTACTTATTGATAGGAAAATTTCATCTATTGTCAATCTTTTTTAGATTGTCTCGCCGATATCTTTGAAGATATACGAACCCCCCATAAACTGACGGCGGCAGATAATAAATTAGCACTATTGACTCCACAAATGTCTTCAACGATTCCAGTGGATAGAGGAGCTATCATTCGAGCTAGACTTCCAATACTCTCTGTAGACCCTGCGACCGATCCTTGGTTAGTGGAAGAAGCCTTTTCCACTATCATTTCTGTCAGTGTTACCCGCAGGATCATATCGGCGATTTTGAAAATCGTCGTTGATAACATAAAGAGAGGAAAGTACGATGAGAAGTAAGCGCAGCTGAAGCCCACTGCCATCATCGTAAACGCGTGGAGGTTTCTCTTCCTATACGATATGTCATCCGTGTAGAATTTCCTATTTATTCGGCCCATCAGAAGGCCTGTAGTTATTCCTATAAAACTTTGGTAGGCTATCGTGTATCCAGCTAGCTTTGGCGACATATCGAACCTCCTTTTTATCCTAACGTTGTAATTCGCGTAGAAGGCAATTGCTGCTACTTCTGCCATGAATTTCAGGGCGAAGGCATCACCAAATACCCTCCAATCGATTTCTCGTAGATCTGAGATCACTTCTTTCAATTTTTTCATTTCAAATTTCTTTAGCTTCTCATTCTTTTTCATGTCATTCGGAGATTTAGGCTCTGGTCGGCTCAACTTGTCACCGAAACAATAATGGGCTATCACTGAAAGAGAAAATATGAGTGAATATGGATTTAGGCGAGAGGAGTTGAATCAGTTGTGTCCATTTAACTTTGGATATGAAATCAATTTTTCGCCCTGGCGGGTGCCAAATTTCCCTTCCGTAAAGCGTTGAGGCGAAAAATACGGTTCTAAATAGGAGAGGTAAAATAATAGAGTCGTGCTCACGTGCGGAATTGTGGTACACTACCACAAAAAACATTTCTTGAGCGAAAAACATGGCATACATACTTGATCAATTTATGGGAGGTTTCAGACAAGAAATCGGTGCTCTTCGAGCTAAAGGAGGAAGTTACTCAATGAAAAGGTCATGTTTTTTTTCTAAATGAGATTAATTTATAAAAATTCAGAGAAATTTAAATAAATCTTCTGTATGTGAGACCTGGATTTTTGCAGAATACCCTCCTATAGAGAATCATTCATTCAAATTTGTCAGAACGTGATTCATAAAGACAGGTTTGACAGAAAGTTGCTCTATCTTTCAAAGATTTGGAGCAAGCTTGCTGTGATAGCCCTGCGTGCGCTGTAAATAATCTTTTATCTGGAAATATGAATAAACTTTCAATTACCAGCATTAATGATGAATAATATTCCACTAACGACACAAGTAAGAGAAAATCCTCCATCAACTTCCGTCATGTGACCTGCTATCAGTGGTCCCAATGCAAAACTCAATCCCGTTATTGATTTCAAATTTCCAAAGATAACTGATTGGTCATCTTTGGGGTAGAGGTCAGTTATCAAGGCCTGGATCATCACCTGTGAGTGCTTGAAGATTCCTACGAAACAAAAATAGTTGGAAAATTGGCTAATTATTGGCTTAGTCATTCTAGAATATTGGGGAACATACGTACTGTAAAATTATAAGTACCTATTGTCACTCTGAGAACTAGCATGAGAAATATGGATTCGACAATTCCAAAAAGAGCGTAACACACTCCAATTATTAGGCAAGAGATGATGAAGATATTTTTTCGCCCAATTCTGTCGCTCCAGCTGCCCTGAAAAACATTGAATAATTTTTTTCATAATTATGAAGAGAACAATCACTTCATCCCTTTAAAAAAAATTTAGAGAATTCTGTTGTAGATAATTGGATGGACTATGGAAAAGCTTGCTTGCTGTTTTTCCTAAACTTGATCACGTATGAAAAAATCCTACAGAATATACCGGTCGTAATATTTTCTTTCATTTGTAGTTCCACAGATGTTTGCATAATAATCTTCACCAAATTTCTCATTCATTGAAACAATTTCTTACAATCAATGGTCCACTGATGAGTTGAGTTCCTGCATAAATGGAAGAGATGGCACCTATTGTTGAGAATGATGCACCAAGTTTATTCAGGTGCATCGACATTGAAGGTAAAATCAAGCCAACAGCAAAGAAATCCTGAAAGAAACGATAATAATCGAACAAAAAATCTGATTACTTTTCAAGGGCAACAGATTTCATTAAAATGTAATTATCTTACCAGGAATGTCACGAGATATATCCAGCGAATATCGCTGACTTTGGAGTTAGTTGCCATGTTTCTGTTATTCCCAGGTACTGGCAACTATCGTGTAATTTACTTCTAATCCGGTTCTTCACTGTCTGCTATCATTTTACTTGCATGATGTTTAAGTCTCGTAACGAGTGTTTAACCGCTGAGAGCCATGTTGAATGCAGAACTACCTTGTGGAGTCCTCTACTGATGATTGAGAAAACCAAACAGCTAAAAAGTTCTTTCGATTCCAACTAGAGAGCTCTGAATAAGTGAAATTATGGAGATAAGGAGGTCTCACATAAATGAAGTAAAGATGTGTTTATCACAAACGACTTATATTTATTCAGTTCAAACGCTTAGTAATTAGTAATTAATACAAAAGCGGAAACGCCACAGCTGTGGTGGGTTAGATGATGAAATGAGAATGATAATAATAATAATTCGGATGACTTCGTGAAGCTCCGCTAGCCCGATCGCGGGACTAGTGTCTGTTTGCGTCGTTGGCGCTGAGGACGAGCTCCGTCGGTAACGCTGAGTTCTGGTTGAGCCTCAGCCGCCACAAAATGAGTAGGGAAATCTCTTCACAATCTTCAAATGATAAATTGAATGAAAACGAAAATTCAAGTGATTTTTTGGAATTGACTCGAGTAATGATACGTCTTTCAACTAGACGACATTTCCACTTACGTTTTAATTACTACATTTCAATTCGCAAGAATATGAATATATTTTCAATTGATGTTTTAATTTAAGAAGTAATCTCAACTCATTGCTTCAATGTACACTTCAACGTACAATACAACACAATAAATACAACTATTGTTCGATTAGTTAATAACACTCGATGTTTCAATGATAACAAATTCCATAATTTACCTCAATCAAAACTCAGCCTTCAATTATAAAAATTTTCACATTGCATAATTTGACTGCACACTTGATAAAGTTTTACAATACCGTGGTGGCACAAATTTTCGAATGAGACCGAAACATGAATATTCGAAGGCATCGAAGTCCATTTTCATTATTTTCCTCTCGAAGTGCAGTTATTTCGACACGAATTACAATATTCATTTACATTACACAGCTCAATAATATCCTAAAATTACATTTATCCGGCGTGCTTGATCTGATCTGCTTATCGAGTCTTATGTATTGTACAGACGGTTGCATTCAGTCGCACTTCATAAGGATCTGGCGACAAAATGTAAGGAAACAATTAATTTTAATCAGTTTCTTTGAGTTGATGGATAATTTTTGAATCGATACAGATTGAAACAAAACGAAAAGAAAAAATTTATAAGAAACACGGCATTTGAAATTTGGGTTCACAGAATATGAGGTGGGAGGACTTGAATGTATTCTTTCTAATTTTATAACCAATTTTATACCGGTCCACAAACGTGAGTTGCAAATTCAACAATAGGGGGCGGCTAAATGAGCTCATACAATCGAAAAAGAGAAGGATTTGGAGCAGGGATGGCTATCAATCTTCCGATTCTTCAATATTAAAAGAAATTTCGACTTACATTAAGTTTAAATATAATAATCGAAATTTCCAATTGATGATGAATTAAATATTTAATAATATGGAACTGTGAAGTTTCTATTGATTACTTAATAATTGAACGATAATTATAATTTATGGATATGGCTATTCCTGATTTGAAGATTTCCAAAAAGAAGGAATTGACTCAAGCTAAGAAGAGTCCCAACATTGTGGTGAAGAAGGGAGAGGTGAAGAGGAAACAGTTGGAGGGAATTTATTCACTAGTCGTCAAGCGGGTCTTTACTGTTGAAATAATAATAAAATTGCTCTGGATATGTTTTTCATTAACGATTTCCTAAATTTTTTTCGCCCAAACCCGTTTAATGCGCTTTATTCGAAAACTAGGCCCATGTTATTCGACAACTGGGGTAGGTCCATTTTGGACATTCGAAAACTGGTGCCCCACGATATTTGGCGATGGGTTTTCCGATAACAACACTTATTGGTCATGTATTAATTTAAATGATACTAGTTGAAATATCGTCTAGTCGAAAAACAAGACTTCCGAACAATCAGTGTTGAACGATAAGGAATAATTCTTTCGAGCATCAAAAAATTCTCTTTATGCCACTTTCCAAGGGTTACAGCAGTCGAAGATTGACATCCCTAAATAATCATAAAATATAGAATTGTCGATATTTAATAAACGTTAAATATGGAGTACAAAAGATTTTGAGTCACTTCAGATAATTCCGCGGTCGAACGCAACAGGAAAATATAATCATGTTGATGTACAGATGCACGAGTAAAAATATTAGAAAGGCGTGCCATCACTTTTTCTTAGCGTCCTTCAGACCAGCGCCGGCGTTGAATTTGAAGAATATGATGTCACCGTCCTCGACGACGTAGTTTCTACCCTGTTGGCGATACTTTCCTGCAGCCTGCAAAATTCATGTTTCAAGGGTCAGGTGCATTTTCGATAATGCTTCAAGAGTTTTTCTGTGGCATGGCTATTTCTATTTTTTTCTCAGTCACTCATTCAGGGAGTGGCAATTTTTTTTCAGCCCAAGTCTACTAATTTTGGTAATACACTGGGTCCAGAAAGGTAATATAATGGAATGTAGGATTATTATTACCTTAACTGCAGCTTCAGAGCCTTCATTCTTAAAATCCTCAAATTTCATAACTTCAGCCATGATAAAACCCTTCTCAAAATCTGTGTGGATTCTACCAGCTGCCTGTGGAGCCTTACACCCTTTCTGTGATAAAAAATAAGATGATTTTTTAATCTGAAGTGAATCTTCAAGGTTTGGAAACGCGCAAAATTGAGGGATGAAAAATGTGAAACATAATATGGTAAAATCGTTCACGTGAATTTTAAAATAGAAGTGCTCCATTATGGAGTTATAGAAAAGAGAAGTTAAAATTTATCCATCTTCAAATTTATATTACCATTATTATTTATTTTATTATTATTCGAATATTTATATTATCATTCTACAAAAATTTTCGAAAGAGATTCGAGATATTTCAGTGTCACCGTCCTGAAAATTCAAGAATATATTTACCGGAATTTTCTAGTTTTCTATTCATTTTCAAGGAAAAATGGAACTAAAACTTACAATTCTCCTTAATTTTTCCACGAAATTCTGAATTTTCAATGACGAAATTCCTTGAAATTTCGATGGTAATTAAATTAGATAAAAATTTCCATAAAGTAAATGGCAAATAAAAATTTTCCAACAATGCATGAATTTCATGATGCAAGTAAAGATTAAAAAAAGGATTTATCCCTGAAAAATTATGATTATTTTTGAAAAAGGACAAAACCAATGTTTCTTGGTGATTTTTTATGTTCTCTTTCTCGAAAAGCTTTACATGTCGCATCAGATGGGATATAAATATCAAATTGAATATATTCACCTGAATGGTCCAAGCTTTAACTTCATCGGCACCAGAAGTGAAGAAATATTGCAGCTGCAGCGCCTTGTACCCTTGGAGAATGATCTTCTCCAGTGCACTGTGACCAACAAAATATAGCACATAAAAATCAAAATTCAATCCAATGAGATCTGCCTCACAAGTAATCAACAATTGACCTTCAAAAAAACCTCATGAATTTCTTAGATTCACATCGATTACGCGAGCGAAGACAATCGTCTTAAAAGGAGCACCGCGCGACCATAGAATATGATTGTTTTGGACCAAACATCGTCTAATGACAGGGTAGAGAGGGAAGAAGAGCCATCGAGGGGCGAGAGGCCCGAGACTTCGGGACTTCAGAGAATACACATAAAGCGAACGACTTAATACTGCAATTTTATCATTCCAAGTCGGGGTCCCCCTCTCATTTCAAAACCATCGTATCCCCCCAGTGATCTTGCGGTCTCAAAATAAAATCATTGCCCCAGTCGTCCCTCATGATTGCTGGGTACCTATACGTTCATAGAATAATTTCTCAACGATCGCTCGATATATCCAGCGGAATTCACATTTGCGTTCTTTCGGAGGGGTTTTTAACGTTAGAAATTTATTCGGAAGCAATTTTCGGATTATTGCCACAAAAAAACAGATACGGGAAAAAAATGGTGCGAGATGAAACCAATTGGAGATTAGGTTCTTAATTTGTTCAACCACTTCCTCGAAACGATTTCAAATCAATCAATTTTTTTCTGGTGATTGGATGCATATCTTCTCTTAATATTTTTATTTCAAATTGATGGCACATAAAAATATAAAATTAAATGTAATTACAAGTTTGTAGCTAATTCAACAGAATGCTCACTTGGATTTTTGTACGTTACACTAATTTTCAATACCAAATTAATCAAGAGTAATAAAACCAATTTTTTTCGTAACGACAAAAACCCCAGAGATTCTATGTAATTATTTTCTCTTCGATGTTTCAAGATATAGAAAATTTCAATCATGAAATAGAACTAAGAAACGTCATCGAGAATAAAATTTGGGACATTAATTGAATCAGGAATTATCTCGTCGTTGAAAAATGGGGAAAATTAATTATTGGCAATTATATGAAGGAAGATAATAAAGTTCGATTGAAAATGAAAGTTGAAAGAAATATGCAGTAAAAGAATAATTTTATTCCGGAATTTAATGTCGTCAATTTTTGTGATCAATTACTTAAACTTTGAGAGACATAAAAAGACGATAAAAAGTGCACGGAAAAAGTACACTTCACCCCTCTGGCAATGGATGACCCACTAGCCGAGTGCTCTCGGTCTTCGCATTATTATATGCTCCACCATGAGGGCGTTTTTTACGCAATTTCACAAGAATTTGAATAACAGTTTCGTACGATAATAAAACAGAAAAAAGTGTGGCCATAGTGCACAGTGCTTGCCGGTGTTTTACTGATTCCCAAACAAGTGGGAGAGAAATCCTGGAGTCTAGACACTGAGTAGAACCCCACCATTATTCATAACCGACTTTAAAGCTCACTCGTTATTTCATAAAAGAGAATAAAACGAACGTGGGAATTTTGAGGGGGGGAGTAGTCGGGCATTTCACGACCACGAAAACGATATTTTCATGAATAGTTATGGCTCACCTCGTGACTTTACTCTCCTCGAAATACTTGGCCTTTTCGGCGTCATCCATGTCAATAACTTTGTTTTCGAAGGTGCCACTGAAGGGTATCAGACTGGCGCCGGGGTCGTTTTTATCCACCCATTCTTTGATCTTAATGAGCCTGTTGACATTATAAAACCAAAATAATAATTAAATGCAATGCATTGCATTTAATTATTTTACACCAAAAATTCTGGGGGGGGGGGGGGAGTGACCACACAAGAAATGATTTACAAGTGTTGTCTGCACTTTTTTGTGATGTAGACACCTTATATTCATTGAAATTTCTAAAAACTGATGGATATAATAAAAAAGGACCACAGGAATAGTGCATTCAAGGCCCACGACTTATAAGTTTTTGCACCAAAGTAGTGCGTAGTACCTTTGAAGATATTCGAATTCTAATGTTATACCAATCATTGCCAAACCATTTTAAAGATGGTTTTGAATACTAGATGTGGAATAAATGAATTTACCCGGCTAACTATATTCACTATATAGGTAAATTGTAGTTAGCATGAATATTAATAAATTCTGAAAGCAGAGGGTGATGGCACATCTTTTGGTGAACAATTGTACGCCAACACCACAGGCTTTAAATGTGTGAAAACAAAAATTCGATTCCTAATGATGAAATTCAATTATTTCACCTTTTCCTCAAAGAATCGAAATTCAAGTGGAAAAAGTGAAACTTTTTAAAAAATCATAACTCGTTGAAAGAAAATCGAATCGCCTTGAAAATTTTATGAGAGCTTCGTCTCATGTATGCCTTTTTACCCAGGAACCGAATCGCGAAGACAATCGCAAACATGAAACATGATTTTTTTTTTCATTTCGGATTTGACGTGGAGTTGCTCATATCTATCGCCACTCCGCTGCAAAAGTATTTCTCTTCCAAAGTAAATAACGAATGATTTTACTACATAATCTCCCCATATTTATCCACGAAACAACATAAAGAGCTCGACTCCCCCAACCGTTCAATTCTCACGATATTTTGCAAAAAAAAATACGGATTAATGCTTCATGAATAATGAACACCTATAACACTCTGGAGACTCCAACACGATTGGTATGTAGACAGACAGTTTGCATTGACGCACCCGATACTCAGGGGGTGTAACCAGAGTGTAGGCAATGTTGCACGTACCGCCAACGATATTTCTGTTTTCAGTGAAAACCAATAACAATGCGTTTCTATGTAAAATGCATTTGAAGTAGTTCCCTGAATGCATTCGACTGATCTCGGTATTCAATATCCATCAGTAGGAGTTGTAAAAAAAATGTAAAACTGTCCCAGAAATACATACATTTAAATATCGGAGTTTTATAACTTACCATTTGTTCTTTTTACGTATGTAATCCTTCTCCGATAAATTCACTAAGTAAATTACGGGCTTCGAAGTGAGGAACAGGTACTTGTTCAGTACTTCGATCTGTAAATACATTGATCTTTTTTTTTATTGATGGGTAATAAGTAGTATGTGCTAACAGTAATGTGTATGTGGAGGGGTAATGAGGGCTATGTCGGGTGCATTTTTTAAAAATTCAGATGATACTCACGTCGTTAGCACTCCAGTCCTGGAATCTGATGTGGTTCTTGTCTTCGACGAGAACATTCTTTACTTTGAGTAAAGTCTCCTAGTGAAAAATTTTATGAATGAGCTTCGATTACTCAATCTAATTCTTCAAGGGGAGACTAGTATCAGTTTTAACCCTGGAGTGGTCACCCTATGAGGGGAATCCCGCTACGCGACGTTTTTCTTTAATCACAATTGACTGGCTTACCGAGAAAATTCAAAAAAATTTGACTTTGTCAATTGAAGTGTTTAAAAAATTATAGTAGTTTTTAGAACAACATATTTTCGAAAATTCTTAAAGAAAACAAATTATTCCGGACAGATGAATTATTTTTTCCCATGTTAAATGAAATTGCCCGTGACGCGACGTTGCCGGAACCTCGCTAAACGCGCCCGGGTAGTGTAGAGGGAATTCGGCAATGGTAAAGCCTAAATAACACGGCGGGGAATCCCCGAAAGAGATTTAGATCTGGTGTTACATAATTTTGTCATTATTGAGCTTAGTAGGGTGATTCAAATACAAATATCAAAAATAAGGTGACCAGACTAGGGTTAAAGATCATCGGTAATTGGAGTATATAACTGCTCCAACGAATTTTTCGAGGAAACTGAATTGATTTGTCATTTATTACAAAAAGAAATTGAAATCGACAAGAAAATTGAGTTGGACCTAATTAGGTAAATAACTTGAAGATGGTGACTGGGTCAAATTTTGACCTTTGTGGGTTTCATATCAGCTGCGTCTGCGTCGTGAACTCTGGGTATGCTAAGTGCTGGTGAAACTTGATACTTTAAAAATAAGTGCTTCATTACACGTTCAATTTATATGAACACCTCATAATTGAAATTTAAAAAACTGCTTTTAGAAGGAAAAGTGTAGAATGGGAGGTCCTGTACATCTACATGAGCATACACGTTACTAAGTGTAAGAGCTCAAGGAGGTTAAAATTCATTTATAGCTGCCAGTTTCCGACACAATATACGTCGAAATCCTTCAGAATCACATACTAAAAACTTAATATTTACCTATCAGTATCCGGAAAAAATTGGAATTGCTATATTAGCTAATTACCGGATCATCTTCCAAATATCGGCGGAGGTATTAGGTTTGGAACAAAATATGGAAGGACCTCATTTGTGGAGAATTTTCCGCCTTACAAAAAACGGTTCCATGATAATTTTCTCCAAACCTACTCTTTAAAGGTATTTCCAGAACGATTCGTCCAGTTTTCGAAATAAGTCCAATAATTCAAGAAGGATTATTCTCTAAATATCTTTAAAACTAGCCGGATTGAAGACGAATAATTGAAAATTTTTTCTTTATAGTCAGATGGACCTTGAGGTATATCCCAAGACAATCGCACGCAAAAGTTAGTTCCTATGGATTTCCAGTGAACATTCTGAATGTCTTAATTTATTGCATTCTCATAAGTTATTTCTATTCTCATGTGTTGTCGATGTAGGCGACAATAACTGTGTGTATCCAATAAGAAATTATTTGTTAATTAATTTCTTGAATCAAATAAGAAATGCTTTCACGAAGTTGAATATCGCAGAAACTAATCTAGTAAAAAATTTTGCAAAAAAATCACAGTATTCGGAATTTATTAATCTATCACGAATTAGTTTTTTAAGAACATCGTAAAAACCGTTTTCTCATAAGATGGAAAAACAGAGTTCCCCGGATTTCGATCGAGAACGCCGGATTTCATTATTTACTGTCCCCTAAACTGCGTAGTAGAGCCAGTTAGTATTTTTTTCAATAGCTGGGAACTATTATAAACATTATCTATGAAAAAAATGTTGAGAATCTGAAGAAAAACGTGTTTACTGGGAATATACCTCAACAAAAACCGCTCTCTGACAATTGCCTTCAAACCTCTTCTGATGATTCACGAAGCAATCTACAAATCTGTATTGGCTTCATTAAATTCCATTACTTTTCTACGCAATTGCATAAAAAACGTGTGCTGGTGTTGAGGTTTCTCGTTAAAAACATCCTGCACTTCCGAAATGCGAAGTAAAACACTCGTACCCCAAGTCAATCGTCAAATTAATACGTTCCAGGAACTAGAACCCTTTCACCACGCCCTAATCCCTCCATAACCCCGCAGATCCATTTAAAAAACCGTTGTAACTACTTTTCGAGAATAACACATCACCTTCAACCTTCGTGACTCGTAACCATTCGTACTTTAAGATTCTACAGATCTAGAAATTAGACTCCAATTCATCGAGCAATACCGCCCACTAAATTTCTAACGCTCCCCATCTCGTAACTCTTTATGGTCTGTCTCTCTCTCACTCTCTCTGTCTCGAAATTAGCGAGGTGATAATGGTGGTGAAAAAAAAGTTAACCCCGGATCTGATACCGTGAGATTCACAATCAGGTTCGATCACTATCTCTCTTTCAACAAGGCGTTTGTAAATCACGCCTCCACCAGGACGACAGTCGTTTTATTCTGTGGATAAAACATACCAAACATGACGCGTGCATCGAACCCTTTCTATACATGTGTCTGTGCGCGAACGCACAGCCCGGAACGTGCGGTTCAAAGGTCACGAAATTACAGTGGAGTGGTCCCTATGATACGGCGAAATCATCGAGAAGGATTTCTCGACCAGAGAGAGGGATGAGAGCAATATGTGCACTTGTACGTGTACTCACGTATTCAGGTTTGAGCTTCTTGTCGTTGCCCCGCACCACGAGCTTCTCCAATTTTTCCAGGTGTATTTTGAGGAATTCAATGTCCTTCAGACGCAACTCCTCGCTGATTATTTCCAGATCTCGGACGGGGTTCACCTCGCCCTCTATGTGGGTCACGTCATCGTCTTCAAATGCTCCTATTTGCAGGGAGGAACAAGAAGTTTGTAGTGAAGTTTAGTGATACCGCGAGACACTTTACGAGACAAAACTTTGAAGAGACGATCTCGGTCTCGAGTTTTCCATTGGTCCAGCGACCAATGGAGTGTTAAAGTCTTAACACTCCATTGGTCGCGCTATGAGCGCCGTGCCGCACTTTTTCGATTTTTTAAATTACGAGACCGAACGCGTGTTACAGCGCGCTGTAATTGTAACAATCATAATTGAAAATCTCAAGATTAAATTAATCATGAATTCAATTTGCTGCCTCAGACGACTGGAACCAATGAGGACTAAGCGTGACAGATTTGCGAGATATCGATAGTTATCGACTTTAAGTGTATGTTCTTATTAGAATGAGACACTGCAGTAAAACCTTACAAAAATTGAAAAAATAATAAACATTTGACCGTCCAAATAATGTATAACACCCTGAAACATTGGTTCTAGTAATTGCAGTCTCATCTGTTAATGCTCCAGACGAAAATTACAGAAATCCCACCCATAATCCGCAATAAATAATGCCCCTTCCCACACCCGCGAACCCATGGGACCCATAAACCAGTGAAATTAACGCAGAAAGCTGACACGCGACCCCTTACCGGCTAATTCAATTATCCACGACACGTATGACTTCTCAGTTCTTCACATATCCCTTTTTTTCCGGTAATATAATTCTCCAAGCAGACATTAATGCCCCGTTATTTCAATAAGCAAACGTATTTTCTAGTGAAGTGAGTGTTGTAGTATCCCGGCCTATACCATTTGCATGTGTGTGATGCATGCAATGGGTTAAAAAAAATTGAAGTAGGGGTGAGAGTAGCGTCGACACGACGACCCCAGCTTAGCATGCACCGTAGGTCAGGCGTTTTGCTATCTGTGTGTGTATGGAAACTCTCTCCGAGGGTTTAGTTTATAACAAGAGGGGGAGGCTTCGAGTTTTGTTGAAAGGTACAAGGAAAAGACCACTAGTCGTCGTTTATTTAAGCGGTCAATATCCACGACGGTTGTAAATTACAGAGCGCTTTAATTACTGAAATTGCAACGTGTCAACAGTTAAATGATAACTACCATGGAATGTTATCCTTCGTAAAACGTTAACTACTGTGTGGATTTCACCCGCACACTTCGATTATCAACTTTTTCTCGGTGCCTTACATGATTTCTAATAATGAAGACGATAATTAAGTCGATAGCGCTATATTTACTAAATTAGGCCGCAATATAATCTTATAATTATGTATTGACGTGTGGAAACGTAATCGGAAATTCTAACAAGTCATGCTCATTGATATTATAATTGAACACATTTTTTATCTCCTTCATTCACCAAAAATTTTGGAGAGTCACGTATATTTTTGGAGAGGGCAGTAAACGTATGATATCATAATAAAGTCGTTTGTTTACTCTAGGATGAAACGTTAAGGGGAGATATTACTGAGCTCCAAAAGTTCTGCTGAACCCAATTATTTCGGAGAAATATAATCATTATTTTGACATCGCTCTGACTTGGTTGTGAGTACACTGATAGACTGATTCATTTATTCCAAACGAGATTCGTTAACATGTAGAATTATCTCCATGCTGAGTGATTTCCAAATCCAATACAGATAAAGATTAATGACTTACTGCAAAGGTGAAAAATAGCGTCACAAGCACTGATATGCGACAAAAATGCATTTCCCAGTCCCTGACCCTCGGCTGCACCCTTCACAAGACCGGCGATATCCACAACATTCAAGAAAGCCGGGACTTTACTGAAAGAAAAACACACACACAAAGAACCATTAAAACAGCGATGCTTAATTAAAGATCAAATTGACGGATTTTTCTCCCTGCACTATCTGCATACACAGACTGCGTTCGAAATTGCGGGATCAAAGGACCCAGTAGAGTTCACGTGTGGGCTGAATTATGGGTGTTGAATGGAAAGCCGGTGACGGGGGAGAGGTGTAACAGAGTGACGAATCCACAATGACAATGCATTTAAATGCTAATGCCCCCGACCTCATTAAACAATTAGCCTTTGAAGAGAGCGTCGAGTAGAAGTTGACATGGTATAGAGAGGGGTTACTGATTAGTTGGCTTTTATTACGGACCGCTGAATTCTCCAACACGTGCCGTAAACTGAAATAACGCTGTGAGAGAACTATTCATCGTTTCAAAATGTCTCCTAAGGGACAGATCACTTTGATGTTTTCAATCTCCACGAATTAATTCACAATGCGCTGTTTATAGTTGACATTAAAGTATCAAATGATTGCTTGCACTGTCACGTTTCAGGGTGGGGGGAGCGTTTACATTCATTTATTTTCCAATGTAAAAACGACAATAAATAGAATTGAAAAAATATATTGCGAAGGGCTCTAGCGAATGCTGCAGTCATGTCTGAATGCCGGATTACGCTTTGCATGGCAATCAGAAAATGAGGGAGGGCAATCGTACGTTTCACGATTTACGAAGACCACCGAATGTTTGGTGTCTGTCAGTATATTCTGGTAGGACAAAATTTCACGTTTGCTTATCTGCATTGCAGATCACGTTCCACGAAACCTATGGCTTCAGGAATATCTCCCTCTTTCCTCTTTATTCGTCTCTCTGGAACCGCTTGAACCCCTGGTTTTTGCTGGGGATAAAGGCGAAGACGTATGGAAATTTTGCCCAGTTATTCCGAATCGTTTCCTACGAGGAGGGTTTGTCGCGGAGGAACAGTCACTGATAATACTGTGAAATATTTGGTATTTCGTGTTGCGAAATGTTGAATAATATATTGGGTGTAATCTGGGAGAATTTTTGGGGATTGGCTTTACCTTGCTGGCTTGAAGTACTCGCACAGGTAGTCGAATCGTGCGTCAGGTACAGGTACTCGACGTGCTTTGAACACAAGGTGAAGGGTTACACGTATTTGTAGAAAATTGGTTGAGATGACGGTATCAATGATGTATGGAAATGCCACAATTTGATAAGGCGATGAATATCAAAGTTTCTATTATGGAATTATTGTGACAAGTCGTCATTTCCAGGGTTACACCCTTGCCGAAAATTTTTTAACGTCAGAGAAAATCTTTTCCGGTTTTTTTTCTGAAATTCGTGTTTTTCAAAGTTTTTTTGCAATTGATAATACTTTCATATTTCACCCGTTACCCCTTACCATTCCAATATTGACAGAAGTAACAGACAAGTTCAATCACTCGGCATTGGATCGTCTACGATAATTTTTACCGTCAGTATGTTGCCGTTATTACCATTGAGGACATTTCTGTCACTCTCAAGGCCCTAGTGGTTTTTGCAGAAGATCAATTGGAAATTCATCGCAATCGGATAATTAGAAACATTTTCAATTCAATGATGAAGAATTTAAGATCCATGAAAATGTGGCAGTTAGATTCTGGCAGACTCGTTTTAATACTCATGTGCGAATTCCTGCCGTTCGTATTTGAGAGATACTTAATATATCAGTATCTTTGACTCAATATTTCTAGAATTATTGCTGGTTGAATGTATCACAATAACATCTATTTGCAATTCCGCGAATTACAGAATATTATTTTATCTTCATTTTTGTTATATTACTGCTGCGTGTTCTTTTATTTTGCGGCATAAACTGGCTTCGAAGGATGGCAATAACTAGTCCATACGTTTTTTCAATTTGTTTCAAGTGGAAAATATTGCAGGATGATTGCAATAATCGTCATTTTGATTTATTTGAAAATTTGCACAAATTTTGTATTTTTGAGAAATCAGAATTCCGGGGATATCTTTGGATATCATGCTTCAAATAAATTAAATCATAATTTGAAATGTTTGTTTTAATGCCAGTAAGTCGAAGTTAAAAGATGATTATGCTATATTATATTGGTTGATTTGATTTTTATAATAATTGTTGAAATTTTCTAATTTTTCATGAATTTCCAGACAACCGGTTATATAGAAGAACGGGATAATAAGAATAATGATGCTGATAACATTCATCCAAATTAAAAATCTGATAAAAATAGTTAAGAAGAAATCTTATTCAATTTAATAAAATTAAATAAATAATGAATTATAAATGATAAAAGGAAATGTGCAAAATAACCATGCGGAAGTAAATTTTAATTTATTAGCAATTCCCCACTTGTTTTATTCGCAAAGATGTCAATTTATGGAGCCTTTTTACTAAAAAATGCAATTTGCTTATGCTAAAAAGCAAAAATTCTAAAAAAAAGTAAAAGTACTCTAAAGGAACGATTTAGTATGGTAAATTGATTCGTCATTGAGAAAATGAACCACACCTTCAAGAAGGGTGCGGTAGGCTTCAAGAGGCACCTAATAATTCCATAATCAACAAAGATGTATCATTGCCCGTGTTACGCGCTCCACCTCGAATTTCTATGCAACATATACACATATAGACATCGCAATATAGAATAACAATGATCAATGTTGATGAATAACAATGATGCGCAAAAAAGATCATAAAAATCAGCAAAATTGTTGGTACCACCGTCACCTCAACAACCCCATCCTTATCACAAGATTATACTTATTTTCATTAGGATCAATGGTGCAGAACGGGAAGTTCTCAGCAGCCGCCTGGCTCTTCGTCAGTACATTGAAGAACGTCGATTTACCCACATTCGGAATGCCAACAATCCCCACTTTCAGATTAGTACCAACACGTCCGATGAGTGGCTTGCGCTCGGGCTCCTCTACTTTCTTGGGTGGCATGCTACCAACAGAGTCATCAGTGGAGGCAATAAATCGCATTCCTCAGATTTTCACAACAATTTCAATTGAAACATTAACCAACAAACATAATTATCCCCGCAACATACCAAAGTCATGTAGAAGCTCGTTATCTCACAGCCTCTCAGAAAGAGTCCCATAAAAATCCCTCCCAAAATCCCAGCTGTTAATTGCACCAGTGCCAATACAGAACGTGAAAATCACCAGTTGCAACATTTTACCTTCCCAAATCATCCAAACCCCATCGACTTTATCATTACAACCAATTGAGAGAACCGTTCTCTCCGCGAGTGAGAGGACGATTGCCGTTCCGAAGCCCCCGTAACCCCCGTCATGAGTCGTTCATCATTCCGCAAAAAAAAACAAGACAAAAAAACACCTGAGGTGACTGTGGACATCCGCATGTGTATCCACGCTTCTGGTTTGCACGAATGAAAATCAAAATGATCGGGGTAATTTCAGTCCCGCCCCCCTTCGTCCACCTACACATGAGCCCTCGAAAATTCTCAAAGATGACTTGAGTGTATGTGAAACAGCCCTCGCGGCGATGTCCCGTACAGAATGAAACGCGCTCGACTGCGCTTGCGGTGACTAATTATATTAATGCGAACGGGTTTCGAAGCGATTGCTGTATTTACCGGGAGATTGCTGTTGGTAAGCCTCGAGATACAGTGGTGTGGATGCTCGTATAAAAAAAAAAACGAAGGGAAAAGGGGGTGGAAGGGGGAGAAAAATCGGCCCGGCGGAAGAGGATGCGGAGGATACTGACGCCGATGCCCAGTGGGTCTATCATCGCGTAAAATGACGAGGATGCAATGAGGCACATGTATTCGTGTGGAAAAGGGTTGGCGGGGTCCTTGGTGAGGAGGGGGGTGGGAGGGGGCTGAATGGGATAACGGGGGAGGAATATGGCGGGCCAGGGGCCACGATTACTGGGCACCGCGACCACGAATCACCGGCATCACGCCGTGAATCCGCAACCGCGCCTCAGGCCGCCAATCCAACCCTCTCTCATTGTCTCACTCCATCTTGCGTTTTGTTGGTGGATTTTATTGCTTCCACAACGGTGAGACTCACTTTCATCCGCCGATTTGTACGGTTTAACATCAATTTCAAACCCGGTGCCTCTTTGTTTTTCCACGATTCTCAACTGTGCGGCGATAGAGGGGAAATTTGCGAATTACAATAATGATGGACGCGTAACCGCCCGCAAAGCTAGGGTAGCTACTCCGCCTTGGCGCCTGCAAGACTAACTGGTGGTGTTTTCAGATTTTTTGTTTGTTTTTTGGTATTCTTTTTGGGTGAGAAAATTGAATAGAGTTTTTTTGGACTATTGAACGGCTGTTTGATCTTGTTTGAGATTTTTTGAGGACCTTTGAGGGAGTGGCAGTGGTTTTTTTGTCATTGTTGGGTGTGACAATGCGTTTTAGGCGTGAAATTTGAACTCCGGGGGTCATATATGGACTTGAATAACGCGCCGGATCTACTGTCACGCCGCTCAGTGGCGGATTCGAGGAACTAACGAATTATCTACAGATCGAAACAGCTGCACAACATAACCAAAATAACTTGAAGGGTTGAACAAATATTCCTGGCTTCATTAAAAAATCAAAATAGCAGGTCAAGATTTTTTTTCGGATTAAAAGTTTGTGTGAGATCGTTCGTTAATGTTTTCTGACGACATTCCAACGAGATTTATAGAGCAGTTATGGATTTTTCGTGACTACACAGTCTCCGGAATTTTTAAATTGACACTGAAAATATTTGATGAGCTATTGTTTTACTAGCAAGAATGATAGATATTTTTTGTTTTTGTGGAGCACTTACCTGAGGGTTTTAATTCACTAGTAGCCGGCTTTTTACAGATGTATGCGTTGAGTGTTCACAACGTGTCTCACGAGAAACACCGCACGATGGGAGTGACGTCACGGTCGATAGACCCCCTGTTTGGAGCTAGGGATCTGTCGTACCGGTAGGTTCGAGATGAATGTAAAAATTCAAGGAGCTCAGGAGATAAAACAGTCAGATATTTTTCAAATTTCGGAATGTTGTTTCAATTTAATGCCGTCAATCAATATCAATTTTTTTTAATTTTTTGAAGATTTAGGACTCACTAATTACCTAAATTTTTTTTTGTAAGAATGTGAACGATGGGAAAATGGACGAAAATGAAAATTTACTACGCATTTCCCGAGAACGAAAAAATAGAAAATTGATTTTCCGGAGAAAGCAATGAAAAGTGTGTATTTCAGTTTAATTATTACATGAAAATGAATAAAAATCAAGAAATTCTGGTAAATTTATTCTTGAAATGATTTTCAAATCATTGAAAATTTAAGTAAGATAGGGAATTCTCACCTTTCTGCTGCTCAAAAATTTGAAATTTCATCGAATTTTCGGTGATATCTTAAATAGTGTGATTTTTGCTACCGAATGAAAGCACTGTAATCGTCCAATTTTCAATTTCTCTAATTCTGATTGGAAATGATGAAGAATGGGTTAGGGAAGGATGGTTTTGGTGAAGTTTAGCGATCATGTCTGTAGTAGGCGAGGATGTCCACCACCACCTTCCGGGTAGTCAATTTTGAGATAATTGAGTAATTAAGTGGCTAAAATAATTCCAAAAAATCTGAAATTTTGTCAGTTCAAGTTCATTGAGTATTTATGGGAATGATATGGCTTTTGATTCATTATTCGTTATATTTCGTGAAATCTACGGATACGAATAATTCATTGTTTTAATAGAATCCATTAAATAATCGTGTGGATTTTTCATTAAATCCTCATTTTCCAATTAACATTTTTACTAAATTTGTAGGGATTTTCACAAATTTCATCGACAGATAGAGATGAAACCGATAGACGATGAGGTGAATATGTATATGGATATAAGTTCTGGACCATTATGGCTTCCGGATAAATTCATTCGTCCTGCCGAGAATTATATGCACGGAGAGAAATATTCAATAAACATTATGTATCTTTTCCGTAATTCCGAAGCGCAATGTGGTTGTAGGAAATTTTACGGAACTGTCACGTAATTTTCACCTAAAGACACGGAATTTTTCCAGAGCGTTCCGTAATTTTTACCTGAATCTCCTGTGAAAAATTACGACACAATCACTTAAATTTTCTGAGTCGATTCCGTAATCGGTGAGCGAACTGTAGGTTCCGTAATTTTCACGGAACATTTCTCTTCGTGTGTAACTCCGGTTTTATAAAGTGAATGTTATTGAGTAGTGCATATGTTTGCCCAGTAAACACTTTCCATTTTCGTGGAACAAATGATAATTTCAAGAGGAAACTACAATTTTCTTGTCGAAAATTGTGTTATTGGCGAAACTAAATAATTTCGAGGGGACAATTTTTTTTTGGGAAAGTAGGAAGTTCTCTCAGGTCAAATGATTGTCGTACAATAGAATTTTTTTTCTGTCAACAGCCCGATTCTTCTAGGCATATTTCTGATGATCGCGACAAAAATTTCATTTTCCTGAAGGATAATAAAATTGCCTTCTATCAAGTTGGTTAATTTCCCTCAAGTAAATCTGTTCCACTCCATCAAATATCGTCCCGTAGTACCACATAGAGTTTCTCACAGAAATACAATTTTGCTTCACAATTATTGACATTTTCCAGGAATTTTTTTTCAAATTTTTTTCTCTGCTTAGCAGTTGCATTTTTTCAAGGAAAATTGAAACAATAAAAATCGTGAAAAAATACAACGAAACAATTACATACAAATGAATGAAATAAACGCGCATTCACAGAATGCATTAAGAAAGAATATTTAGGTAAACTTCCGGGAAATATTAAACCACCCCTTTAATCTTAAAAAAAGGTAAGAAATACGAAGAGGCCATCAAAGTGAGTTGATTGCGACGCGTTCACGGAAACCATAAACACGCACTATTCCCCGTCAGAAAATCAAGACGCTCGTTGTGTTCTGGCGAATAGAAGGTGAGTCTGGCGTCGGTCGTCACTTTATAATAAAAAAATGAGAAGACAAAAGGGAATTGAATTTAAATTCGCCCAAAAACTGTGCGTGACAAAAAATTCTCATCAAATTCTCGTCGCTTTTAATGAAGTGTAATGAGACTTGCAGCGTGAGCGACAAACATCTGAAAATCTCTTCACCTCTTGTTCTCTTCTCTTCTAATGTTATCATCAACTCAAATTTCATCGTCATGTGTGTTGTGTGTGGGAATGCATTCAAAGGGTCACACGGTTCGCAGTATAATTCGTGGGATAATATTAAAATTGCCAAGGAATGAAATAAGAGAATCAAAAAAATACACTGGAACTATGGCAGGGCCTTGCCGACGGGTGTGCATTTATAAAGCTCTCAGTATCGTGCATTAACCGCTGCACATCAGTAGTTTGTCTTCTTCTCATTGTGAAAAGACAAAAATTCTTCAATTATGCAAAGTATTTTTTTTTTCAAGACAAATACTCATAAATTGCAATGAAAAATCTAAAAGCGAAGATGAATAAGAGGCATTTTATTTGAGGAATGGAACGAAAGAGAAGCAAAAAAATACCAAAAGTTAATGACAACATTTTACCGAAAAAATTTGCCACAGTTAATTCTGTCCTTCAGTCATTGTTTAGAGGCATTTCCTGTGGTTGGTCAACGCTCACACTAATGGCACACTCGATTCGTCCTTGCAGCGTGTGATTATTTCAATTATTTTATTACATACCTTACCAATCTTGGCCCACATAATACGTATAATCATGTGGTGCCCTATTCCTGAAGAAATGCGAATGGGCACTTTTACCTCCTTTTCTTTCCTTCCATATACGCGATAACATAGTTTGGTCGATTTAACGATATTGTAATTTTGGCAACCACAAAAACTTCTAACTCTTTCCGCCTGACGTCATACCGGTTAGTTTCATACGCTATAATAAAAGCTATTTATATCTTGGGAATGAGATGGTTTTCATGAGGATAATATCATTGGTGACGAGTATTCAGAAATAACGATTTATTTACGTAAGTAATTTTATGCGAAAGTTTTGATTTATGTCAAGTCATTTTTCACTGCACCGCAGAATGTTCATATGAGTCGTTTCGTTATGTTTTAATGGCACGCACGTCATTAAAACATTGAACATTGTTCGGGTTTTCAATTGAAAACCCGAGTTGAAAACCCGAGTTTGTAGCAAAGATGTCAGACAAGATATGAATGTTTTTTTGAGCTCAAACGAAAGAGCGGGTCGAGAAATGGCGTGCTAGGACCTCT